CCCGCTTTCTCTCGGCGCCGCTGGCCTCCGCCATCACTGTCGGAGGGAGCGCGCATGCGCCGCGCTAACGACAGCCAGGCAGGGGCGAAGGCGAAGAGAGGACTCGGTCCTCCAGCCTCCCCTCCAGGAGGCGCCCCCTGCTGGGCTGGTGTTGCTATTGGCGGGAACCCCTGGGGAAATGAGGTTGGGTGGAGGATGCTATTCAGTCCTGAGGGGAAAGGGGGGCAGGGGGCTGTGCAGAGGAGGAGGGGCCTGGGCCTGGCCAAGCTCCGCCCCTTTGCCCCCACGTGGCAGCCCCAAGTGTAGGACTTACAAAAACAAGGACTAGTCCTGCAGCACCTTAGGGACCAGCAAAACATTCAGGCTCTGTCTGGACTGGCCGGTTTTTGGAAAAACTTGCCAGCTGTCTACACTGGCCGCTTGAATTTCCGTAAGAACACTGATGATCTCATGTAAGGAATCAGTGCTTCTTGTGGAAATCCTGTGCTGCTCCCGTTCGGGCAAAAGTCCCTTTTGCGCAAAAGGGCCAGTGTAGACAGCTCAGATTTGTTTTCCGGAAAAAAAGCCCCGATCGCGAAAATGGCCATCGGGGCTTTTTTACGGAAAAGTGCGTCTAGATTGGCACGGACGCTTTTCCGCAAAAAGTGCTCTTGCGGAAAATCGTCCGTGCCAATCTAGACGCTCTTTTCCAAAAATACTTTTAACGGAAAACTTTTCCGTTGGGTCCAAGAACTACCTCTGCAGTTTAAATATAACAGGAGCTGGCCTGCCGGCACACCTGGCTCTTAGAACATTTAAACTGTAGAGCTGTAGTGGTGGTAGCTCCTGGACCTGGTGCAATCCGGAACCGAGCTGGGCTGCCTAACTGGAGCAGCCCCTGTTTGCGGTGGCCCAGGCTTAGGGTTACCAGGTAGCTTCAGAAAAAATACCGGACACACTTGATGGTAGGGGCAGAGCGGGGAAGGGACCAGCTGGGAGAGGAGAGGGGCTGGCTGGAGATCAGGGGGGAGGGGAAGGGAGCAGCAGGATGTGGGGCTGGTTGGGAGGGTGGGGTGGGGGCAGCAGGGCCGGGCCGGGCAGCAGGGCTGGCCGGGAGGGGGTCGGGGGAGCGAGTCTGGTCGGAGGGGCGAGTGCGAGGAGAGAATCGGCCAGCGGGAAGCAGGACTGACCTGGACACATGCAGATCCCAGGGCACTGCCTGTTCCACGCATGGTCCCGGCAAAGCACGAGGAGTCCAGCTACGGTTCCACAATGCGCTTGACCAGCGCTCAGGAGCACGGACAGGGCTTCTCCTCCTCCCCAAGGCGTCACTCCTACGTCACATGCAACCAGAGGCTCCCAGTGCAGATCGCGCCCCGCCTCCCAGCCACTCCCCTGCCCCTGCCAGGCTTCCGACTGGCGCCCAGTCGAAAAACCAGAGAATACCGGACATCGCACATGTCCGGTATTCTCTGAATTTTTTTATCGGACAGAGGGCCCAAAAACCGGACTATCCGGTTGAATACCGGACACCTGGCAACCCTACACAGGCTGATAGAGGCAGCAGCAAGGGGGCAGGCAACCCTGCAAAGACGGTGCTGGGGGGAACTGGCTTTTAAGCCAACTCCCCTCAGCACTGGCTCCAGCTCTCTCTCCACTTGCTACCTCTCATATAGATAGGCAGCAAGGGGGGAATGCAAGTAGTTGACTACTCACTTACATCCCTAGTGTAGAGGAGGAGAAAGTAGAAAGCAGACTGGAAGAACAAGAAAATCAGCTGGACAGTGGCAGCTCATCAGCTCTAGGACTAAATAGTTCACAGTACGCTGCCCCCGTAGGCCCTTTCACCAGCAGTAGATACACCTGTTCCAAAAAAAGTGAGGGGAGACTTGATACAAAATAACTTTTCTGTATTTGTTTGTACACCAGTTTAAATTACAATTGTAAAAACCAAAGTGACGTTACGCGTCACATACCAACGATGGGTAGCTCCTCATCAGGAGTATCTCAGTCCTGTCAGTTTATACTCCTTGGCATACATGCTGTGTTTTATCCCCCCCACCCCCAGAGATGCTCCACCCCTGCTCTGTCCCAAGGCCCCACCCTTGCTCCACTTCTTCCTGCCAAGCTCTGCTCTCTCCTGACACCCCACCTCCTCCTACCCCGCTCCAGCTCTTCCCCCCAGGTCCTGCTCACCTGCTGCTCTCCACTATCTGCCGAGCGTCTTCCCCAGCTGATTGGTGGCTGCCACCCAGACAGCTGTGGCCGGTGGATCTGAGCACCTACTATTTTTTCTTATGGGTTATGTTGGGTGCACCAGCCCCAGAGCCTACCACACGCACCTCACGTCAGCAACTGTGCTCCTTGGGGTGTGGAGTAATTTAACAAGGGCAAGCGTCTGTATTGTGACAGCTCCTAACTGGCTTTTGGAAGGTCATTAGAGATTTAGCTGCCCTGCAGCTCCTTGTAAGGAAGGGTGGCCCAACAAGTAAAGTGCTAGTTTACGACAGGGGGGACCTGCGTTCCAACTTGCTGTCAGACTGCCTACATGAGCCAGGACAAGTCACGTGGCTTTTCCGCACCGGTTTGGGGATAAGAGCCTTGCCCTGACTCAAGGGGCATGTGAGGACTCTCACAGTAAAGATGCTTAGACACTGGTAAGGGGAGACACAACAATCCATTTTCCCCTAATTAATGAACATCAGCGGAAGAGACTCTTGGACTTCCCAGGACACACACTGGTCTCTCTGTATAAGGCAAGAGAGGGGGGCGGGCAGAGGCAGATTTCAGCCCGTGACTTGACAGAACTGAATGGAAGGTGGTTTCTGTCAGCCCCACAGTGAATGGATTTCTAGGACAGAGCTGGACAAACTGTCTACACTGTACCCAGTGGGGGTCAGTTCTTAGGGCCTGTATGGAGTGGGGTATACGGTGTGTTTTGAAAACCATGTTAGTTAGTTACAACTCCTAGCCAAGCCCTCCTGGCTACTTAGGGCATCTGACACACCTTTAAATCAGCAAGGCCACTTGGCTCTAGAGCCACTTACAGCTCCAACCCCAAGGGACGGAGCAGATCTTCAGTTGCTGCAGTCTCCTGCCGTTCCATCCCAATGCAGAGAATCCTGACAGAGCTGCCAGGAGAGCAGGGAAGCAGCCTGGCCTAAGGGGCACAGCATATTGCCCTGAGGCTGTAAATGTGGCAGTGCAGCATGGCACTGTGTATTAGTGCAATGCAGGGTCAGGATCTGACACGGTTGCCTAGGCTGCAGGACCCTACATGAGGAGTCTATCACTAACCTCAATAGTCATAGAATGACCAGGAGTCCCTGGGGTGGCGGGAAGAAAAGAAGTGGGTAAGCCAACCTCAACTACACTCCCTATTCCCCAAATGAGAAGTGAGTAAACTCCATTCAGCCATCTTTCCTCTCCCTTTTGCTGCCTTGTGGAGTCACCAACACTCCAGCTGCAGGTTCCAGCCAAGTCCTCTGCACCGCAGAGTACAACCTGGAACAAGCCTCATATTTCTTCCAAGTCTTTAGTACCAGAAGCTCTATGTGAGCCTCACTCTCCATTGGTGTTAGACGTTTTGCGTGTCCTCTCAGCAGGACTTCTTTCATGGTGCAGAGCTGCCCGATGCGAGAGAAAGACTTCTCTTCAGAAGCCCTTGCGAGAATCAGTTCCCTTCTGCCAACCTGTAGGTGATTTGAGGATCAGGAACTTAGTCGCAGCCCGCCTGGAATCTTGTTCCATTTCCCTGCTTTCTGGAGGTGCTCACTTCCCGTGCGAGGCTCCGGTCACGCTGTTTGCTTGTGGTGCTTCAACAGAGCTCCCGCAGGTCTGAGAGACAGGACAGAAACAAGGGTCATGAAGGGACCTCAGCTGGACTGACGTCACAGTGTTGTCACATTGCAATGAACTGGTATCTCTCCTCCCAGAGGGAGGCCCTACACTGTGCCCTATGCAAATGGGATACACAGGTACCAACCCCCTCTGTTTAGATCTTTCCTTGCAGTTTCAGAGGGACACAGGATTCTCTACATCCTCTCCAGAAGGTTGTACAGCAGGGGCGGGCAATAGTTTTTGATGGGGGGAGGCGGCACTCCAAGAATTTGGAAAGTGGTCAAGGGCTGCACTCTTCCATATTCATGGAGGAAGTCTGGGGTCTGGGATGGAGGTTGGGTGCAGAAGGGAGCCTGCAGTGAGGGATTGGGGTGCAGGAGAGGGAGTGGGGTCTGAGAGGGAGTTTGGGTGAAGGAGGCAGTTGTGACCTGGGTTAAGGGACTAGGGTCGGGGTTGTGACCTTGGACAAGAGGGAGTTGTGACCTGGGGCAGGGACTAGGGTGCAGGAGGGGGCAGAGGGGTTTGAGCTATGTCCGAGGGTAGGAGGGAGCTGCGCCTTGGGGCAGGGACTGAGGTCCAAGGGTTTGGATTGTGACCTGGGGCAGGGAATTGGGGTGCAGGATCTGGGAGTGGAGGGGGCAGAGGGTATTGGTTATGTGGGATGGGGGGGGGCAAAGCACTGGGGTGCCAGAGACAGGCTCTGGCTGGGAAACTTACCATGACCTGGGGCAGGGAATTGGGGTGCAGGATCTGGGAGTGGAGGGGGCAGAGGGTATTGGTTATGTGGGATGGGGGGGGGCAAAGCACTGGGGTGCCAGAGACAGGCTCTGGCTGGGAAACTTACCAGCTTGACTCCCAGCCAGCAACCTTCTCAAGCATACCCCGTGCCTGCTCCACCCCGCACTGGCTGCAGGGGCCATGTGATTTTTGAACAGCCTAGGAGCCTGAGGGGAGGAAGAGAGGGTGCTTTGCAAGCTGCCAGTTAATAACAGGCAGCTCCCATTGGCCAGAAACTAGCCAATGGGATTGTGCTGGGGGCAGGAGCAGAGTGTGAAGCTTCTGTTCTCTCCCCCAGGGTTCACAGCTCTTCAAATAGAGCCCCACTGCAGCTTTTCTCAGAAGCACATGGGGGGCTTGTCTGAGGCTCCCCACTGCATCCGTGGGCTGGATCTGGTGCCTTGGCAGGCCGGGTATTTTGCCCAGGCCTGTTGTACAGGGTGACTGTCAGCGTGCTGCTACATTGCACCCCCTGGCTTGGTAGAGTCATTCCTAAGGCCCAGAAGCTGAAAAGACGCTATAGAAATGCAGGGTATGATCAAATGGACACTCCAGATGGTTGAATTTAGCCCGTGAAGAGTCAACACCCTAGCCAGGCCTGTTATGAAGCTGCCTGCCCATTACAACAGGGCTACTCAACACACGGCCCGAGAGCTGTATGCGGCCAGCGGTGCGGTTTGAGTTGACGCTGGGCTCAACGTGTGGCCCGTGGGCGAGAGCCAAAACAAAAAAGCAGTCAATAGAATGGTCTTCTGTTGAGATGCATTTTAGTAGTTAAATTCGTGGATTGTCCTTGCTCATTACAAGTGCTGCCATGTGGGTGGAAATCAGGTAACTATTGCTCTTTATTAATATCAGCAGAAGTGACTTAAACAGGGCCTGTGTGTTGTGTAGTTTTGCCTTAATCTTCGTATTTAGGCCCGTCAGTGTGAAAGAAGCTATTTGCATCTATATTTGTGTATATTTGCAATTACACTTAAGTTGTGGCCCTCGGCATGTGCTGTGAGTATCCCTGTGGCCCCCGGGGCTTCCAAAGTTGAGTAGCCCTGGGCTACAGTTTACTTACAGCACAGGATTGTGTTTCTAATCTGCCTGAAGCCGTTCTCCTGGAGCGTCACATTGATGTAATAGAGGCACCTCAGCTCTTGGGGGTAGTCTTTCCGGTCAATGCCCTTCAGTATGGGGATGATGCGCCCATTGGCCATGGGCGCCTCTGCTAGTGCCTGATGCATCTGGTACCGGCACCAGGAATCCTCGAGGAAGTTGGGGGTTATTAGCAGGACCCAGCAGTGGCTGTTGTGTACGGCACTGCACAATTCTGTCATGATAGCGCCCCCCGGCACGGCATCCCGCAACTGCAGGAAGCACCGGATGCTCTCGGGCTGGCTCTCCAGATAGGAGACCATCTCCTCAGCAAACTCCAAGTCCTCGGCGCTGTGGCAGATGCACACGTCGTAGCTCTTGGCCCAGCGGGCACTCCCGGAGCTGCTCATGCTCACCGGGGAGGTGGAAGGCAGCTGTCCCAGGGTGACCACGGAACTGCTGGTGGAAAAGCTGGCAGCTGTCTCCAAGGAGGAGGAGGGAGTGGAGTAGGGTGCCTGGTTGGAGACAGCATTCAAGTTGCTTCCTCTGGAGCTGGAGCTTTGCTTGGGTTTCTGCAGGAGCCTCCTGAGCCAGCCTGTGGAGTATAAAAATCAGAGTAAGATTCGCTGAAAGGTGAAATGCCTCTGGGAATAGTCACAGCCCCTCCCCAGGCACCCAAAGGAGCCTCTTCGTTGAAACTCCTGATTTCTTATCCAGGGGCCATTTGGGACCCAGAGAGCAAGTGTCAGCCCTGCCCCGGGACCCAAGCAGACAGACCTGGTACTAAGGTGGCGCCGTGTGCTGAGCTAGAACTTCTGACTAGCAGACAGGTCTAGTCCAACAGTTGCTAGAGAGAGGCCTTTCCATAGCTCCAGGCACGGAAGGGCCATGACGTAGTGGGGGTACCTTGCTGGTTGCTATGCTGGGCAGTGGGTTGTGAGTGACCTCCACTGGACAGTCTCTCTCTGCCTCCTGTTCCCAGCCCCTCACTCAGCTCAAGCTGCCAACACGCTGCTCGCTGACTTACCAGCCATGTCAAAGGTAACGGTCCGATGAGAAGCACCCACATGGATCGTGACCCTGTGAGAGAGGGACAGGAAAGGAGCTGTCATGCTGGTATTAAATCGTAGGTACTTGTAGGCCACAGCACTTGGGAGGCCCAGTCAACCGGTACCCGTTGTGGTAGGCACTGTACAATTCCACAGCAAAAAGGTGGGTGCATGCCCCGACTCATGGGGAATGAACCATCCGTGTAGTCCACATTCTAGCGCTGCCTAAGAGATCTCTCGCTTGCACGGCTGTCTGGTCTGGGGTACACAGGGCAGCTCCGTCTCCCAGGTCATCTAGCCTGCACTAAATCCATGTAGCTGTCCTGCCTACCAACAGGCATCACCCCCTTCCCTCACAAAGCACCCAGGGTGTAGCTAAGGAGACTGTCTGGGGCACAGCAAGGAGACAGCGGCTCCATACGAGCCACCCCCAGCCTGGCTACATCGGGTTCTCTTGGGCTGCGAAAGCTGGCACCAGTGTGTGCTTGCTGCTGTGTCGAATATGCAGTTTCTCTAAAAAAAAGGAAATGAAGCAAAGGCCATTTCTTGCTGACGCTCAAGCTGTGCTTAGGCAAACACAATGTCGGGATGAACTCAGCTTATGGAAATACACTGAGGGGTGCCAGGACCCTTCCACCCGCATAGGACTATTGGGCACATGAACACAGCATCCTCTTTACAGAGCAGACACTTGGTCACCTGGGCTTAAGTCTACCCTCCCAGCCTGCAAACAGGCAGGCTCTGGCTTCACAACTGTTCTGTCCCCCTCACCCCTCAGAGAACAATTCAAACAGTGGGGTGGTCCCGCCAGCTTTCTGCAGCCTGCCTTATCCATTGGGCTGAGCCTCCCTCCAGCTCTGTGCATCCCTCAGGCATGCAGGAGGCAGACAAGTATCTCAGGGGTGCTCTCTGCAGGAGCTGCCTTGCCCAGGTCCCTGAAATGGCAAGGGACCAATGCTCCCCACTTTCCATATAGCCAGGGATAGCCGCGATGGGAGAGAACATCACTGAACTCCAGTATTCCTTCCCTCAAACAGGATACTTCCCTCCCTGGATACACTGCTGACTATTTCTGCCTACCAGGCCCACCGACAAGGGGCCGGAGGGGACGGGGCAGAGGGGTCAACTGCTCTGAGACCCGGTGCTCAGAGCCATTGGAGTTAGGGATGTAAAATCCTGTTTAACCAGTTAACCAGTTAAATGTTACACTCAACCAGTCACCCGCTTAATCGGGATCCTGGTTAGGGTGATGCTTACTGGTTAACCAGTTACATCCCTAGCGTTAGTGCTGCATGGTGCACTCCAGGCAATGTTGGGGGGGGGGCACCATGGTCCAGGTGGTGTTGAGGGCCAGCTGCCCTTGCTCTTGCCCTTTCTGGGAACACAGAGCTGCCCCCCCCTTGCCCAGGAGCCCAGGATGGCTGTTGGCTCCCCTGCTGCCTACAATAATTTAATTCAGTAGCTCAAGTGCTGCTGAGAGATGTTTGTGTTTGGCAGGTACCATACTGCAGAAAGGATGAAGCACTGGGTACATATGGGCTACGTCTAAACTGGCATGATTTTCCAGAAATGCTTTTAATGGAAAAGTTTCCGTTAAAAGCATTTTCGGAAAAGAGCGTCTAGGTTGGCACAGACACTTTTCCGCAAAAGCATTTTTGCGGAAAAGCATCCGTGCCAATCTAGACGCGCTTTTGCGCAAAAAAGCCCCGATCGCCATTTTCACGATCGGGGCTTTTTTGCGCAAAACAAATCTGAGCTGTCTACACTGGCCCTTTTGCACAAAAGTTTTGTTCAAAAGTGACTTTTGCCCGAACGGGAGCAGCATAGTATTTCCGCAAGAAGCACTGATTTCTTACAGTAGGAAGTCAGTGCTTTTGCGGAAATTCAAGCGGCCAGTGTAGACAGCTGGCAAGTTTTTCCGGAAAAGCAGCTGATTTTCCGGAAAAACTGGCCAGTCTAGACACAGCCACGATGTTTTTAAATTACAAGGAACAGTGAAATCTCTGCACGCTGCAAGGAACCTATTGAGAAACACCATAACAAAGGTGCTAACTACATCTGTATTCCAAGTAACCATGAACAACAACAAAGAACCATTAAGAGGGACACTCCTCCCATACCACCTTGACAAAACAGCAGAGTAAAACAGACAGGCGAAACCTTTAAAAATCGGAAGTCAAATCCTACTGAGGAAAATAGAAGGTAGCAGAAATTCTGGCAAATCAAATGTAGCAATAGCATTAGGCAGGAGGCCAAAAATGAAACTGAGAAGCAACTAGAAATAGAAAGAAAAACTAACAGCAACCAGTTTTGTAAGACCATTACAGAGCTAAAGCAGCTCCCAAGGAAAGCAAGGCCTCTGAGGAGAAGTTCAATGAATTCTTTGCAGCAGTTTTCACTTCAGAGGATGTGAGGGAGATTCCCACCTCTGAGTCATTCTTTTTAGGTGACAAATCTGAGCAACTCTCCCAGATAAAACCTGCAGTAAGAGCAGAAGATGTTCACCCAAGAGTTCTGAAGGAACTCAAATAGGAAACCGCAGAACTACTAACAGTGGTATGTAACCTACCATTTAAATGACCCTCTGTGCCAGATGACTGGAGGATAGCGAATGTGACACCATTTTTCCATGGAGCTGTCTGTTCCCCACCCCCATGCTGCTGCCTCCCACAGAGCTAAAACGATAATAAAGATCAGAATTATCAGACATGTAGATGAACATGATTTGTTAGGGAAGAGTCAACACAACTTTTGTAAAAGGAAAGCATGCTTCACCGATCCATTAGAATGCTTTGAGAATAAATGTCAAAAGTTGTGGACAAGGGGGAGCCATTTGATATAGTGTACTCAGGCTTTCAGAAACCTTTTGACAAGACCCCACATTAGTAATAAGTTATAGGATAAGAAGGGCCTTCTCGTGGACCAGTAATTAAAGAGTAGGAATAAATAGTCAGTATTCACAATGCAGAGTGGCAAATGCTGGGGTCCCTCATGGATCTGTACTGGGACCAGTATTATCCAACGTATTCATATGTGATTGGAGAAAAAGGGTAAAGAAGGAGGTGCAAAGTTTGCAGACAATAAAAAATTACTCAAGAAAATTATGTCCAAAGAGTTCCAACGGGATCTCGCTAAACTGGGTGACTGGACAACAACATGGCAGATTAAATTCAATGTTGATAAATGTAAACCAATGTACACTGAAAAACACAATCCCAAATGTAGACTACATCATTTTGTATGTAAATTACTGTTACCACATAAAAGTAAATCTTGGAGTCATTGTCTATAATTCTCTGAAAAAAAACACCCCCCCCCCCCCCCCCCCCCCAAACAAACAAAAAAAACCCTATGCATTAGAACTGAAAAGGGTAAAGAGAAAGGCAACAAAAATAATTAGGGGTATGGAACAGTTTCCATATGAGGAGAGATTAAAAAGACAGTGAATGTTCATCTTAGAAGAGATGACTAAAGGAGGATATAATAGGTGCCTGAAGCGTTATTTACCCCTTCATAGAACACAAAACACAGAGATCACAGAATGAAATTAATTAATACTCAGTAGATTTAAAACAAAAGGAAGGTGGTGAGGCCACATCTGGAGTACTGTGTCCAGTTCTGGGCCCCCCTTCAGAAAGGATGTAGACACACTGGAGAAAGTCCAGAGGAGGGCAACAAAAATAATTAGGGGGCTAGAGCATATGACTTATGAGGAAAGGCTGAGGGAACTGGGCTTATTTAGTAGACAGAAGAGACGAGTGAGGGGGGATTTGATAGCAGCCTTCAACCACCTGAAGGGAGGTTCCAAAGAGGATGGAGAGAGGCTGTTCTCAGTGGTGACAGATGACAGATCAATGAGCAATGGCCTCAAGTTGCAGTGGGGGAGGTCTAGATTGGCTATTAGGAAACGTTATTTTGCTACGAGAGTGGTGAAGCACTGGGATGGGTTACCTAGGGAGGTGGTGGAATCTCCATCCCTAGAGATTTTTAAGTCCTGGCTGGGATGATTTAGTGGGGGTTGGTCCTGCTTTTAGCAGGGGGTTGGTCTTGATGACCTCCTGAGGTCTCTTCCAACCCTAGGATTCTAAGTACTTATTCATCCAACATACAATCTGTAGAACTCATTGCTAAGGGATGTTGTGAAGGCCAAAAATATAACTGGGTTTAAAAAAAAAAGAACTAGATAAACTCATGAAAGGACGAACCCCACACTTGGGGTGTGCCTAATCATCTGACTGCCAGAAGCTGGAAATGACTAATAGGGGATGGATCACTGGATAAATGCCCTGTTCTCTTCATTCCCTCTGAAGCATCTGGCACCAGACAGCGACAGAAAACAGGATACTGGGCTAGACTTAGTTCAGCCATTCTTGTTTTCTTAACTCTTCTACTATATATAGTAGGGATGTTAACATTTATTTTTGTAAATATTCATCGCCACATCTCATTTGCATATCTTCTTGCGCAAGAATGTGCAATATAGACATAGCCCCTGTTTATTAAAGAACTCCTCCTAAATGGTAAACGCTAGGACTGCCAAATTTGTTATACAGCTTCCTCTTATCCTAACGTAAAACAAGGTCTGGGTTCAGTTGTGCCAGGACAATGGGATGTGCCTGGAATGCGACTGTTTCTCATCAAATGGAAAGAGAGGGCTGTGATAGCAGGGACAGTTCTACTCCACAATGATGATAGGAGGGCAGCAGCCAAGGGTCCCCCTGCCTGCCTGACAGTCCTGGAGAGCTGCAGAGCATCAGGCGGCTGCTCCCAGGGCAGGAGCCAGGCAGTGTGGGCCCCCCCCAGGCCCTGCCCTAGGGAGCAGCCACCAGCCACCCACATCCCCTGCCCTGACTCCTGGATGCCCCACACTTCCAGCCCCCTGCCCTGGGCCGCCACATCCCCAAGCCTCTGCCCTGAAGGACCCAACCAATGCTGGGGAAATCTTCTAGTACACTATCTTCCCAGAAACAAAAAACAGGACTATGTAGCACTTAAAGAGTAACAAGATGTGCTACATAGTCCTGTTTTTTGTTTCAGCTGCACCATCACGGCTACATTTCTATCACTATCTTTCCAGAAACATGGTACAATTATCTCAAGAAAGCTGATTTCAGGGTCTCCCTCCTTGGTTACAATAAAACGTAACTGAGAACACCAACAAATAGATGCAACAAGCCCTCTCCTGCTCTCTGTAGCAAAGATGAGCTTAGCATAAGGTGCGGGAGAGGGAGAGAATGGGGCAGCACCTGCTTTTAATATTTTACTTTGGTTTTGTGTGTGTAATTTCCTAGCTGAAGAAAACACAGCTGTGTGTAATTTTTGATTTGTATGAGGGCAGTGCCATGAGCAACAGCCACACTGTGTTCAACACCATGCAAATACGTAACTGTGAACCTCACAGAAAACCTTCCATCTAGGACAAGGAAGAATGGCTACCCCAAACAGATGGGGAATACAAAGGGGCAGAGAAACTATATGAGGCCAGTGCATCATGGGTTTGGTTGTTTCAAAATAACACTCTTGAGGCTGGGGTCAAACATCAATTTAAAAAAAATTATATTTCTTTGCCACATTGTAATTTGTATTTTCTCCCTAAAACAAATGCTTCAAACAGAGTTAAACATTCCCCCTTTCCCATCCATCCCCCCCAACACAACGCCCAGGGCCCTACAATGACAAATGAATGGATGTAGTCCCAGTGCTGCCATGAGCCAGTGTGTGTACCTCCAGAGCCCACAACTCTACCGCAAGCTGACGCCAGCTGTCTAAGTGCTCACAAGTGAACCTCCAAGAGGATGAGTGTGCATGCGGCTAGGTGTGCACGAGTGTGCACGAGCCTCTAATGAGCATATGTCCAGTAATAACTAGATGCACAAGTGACTCTACAACAGGGCTACTCAACATGTGGCCCGCTTGTTTGCAGCCCGCGGTGCAGTTTGGGTTTACGTGGGGCTCAACATGTGGCCTGTGGGTGGGAGCCAAAAAAAAAAGTAGTCAATATAATGGTCTTCTGTTGAAATGTGTTTTAGTAGTTAAATTCCTGGGCTGTCATTACTCATTAAAAGTGCTGTCATATGGGTGGAAATTGGGTCACTATTGCACTTTACTAATATCAGCAGAACTGACTAAAACGGGGCCTGTGTGTTGTGTGGTCTTGCCTTTTATTATTCATGCCTATCAGTGTGAAAGAAGCTATTTGCATATCTTTGCATGTATATGCAACCACAGTTAAGCTGCAGCCCTTGGAATGTGCTGCGAGTATCATTGTGGCCCCCAGAGCTTCCAAAGTTGAGTAGCCCTGCCCTACAAGAACAAAGCAGCAGATGCAGACTTAGGGCTCACCCAGGATCCTGTTCTAACCACCTGCTACTCACAGCAGCAAAGGACTTTGGTGCTCCAGGGATCCTTAAATAGCACCAGTGCATTCTGGGTTTGCCCCTTGGAGTGGGACCTAATTGGGGCAGGGGCTTCTTAATGTTTATCTCATCAAAGGCTGAGCATGTTTTCGAGCCTTGTCTTGCAATTCCTAACAACAGTCGTGTGATGGAAGGCTTGGAAAAGGGGGATCTATGTGGAGACCTCTCTCTGGGCACAGCTCAGGCTCCACAAGTCCAGAGGGGGCTAGGGCAGCAAGGCTCACGGTCAGTCTTCACTCCGTCAGGTGGAGATTCCCCATCAGTCAGTGCAAAGACACCAGGTTACGTGGGTCCCCTTTTGCTCAGCCACGCTTGGAAGCTCCTAGCAGCAGTGACATACAGGTCCAGCTGCTAGGGATGGGAGCTGGGCAGAGCCACTGGCTATCTGTGAAACGGTCCTGCCCTGCAGCTCTCAGAGCATCCCTGAGTCTGCGACAGAGCGCCAGCCCAGCACCCCGCACCCAGGTGCACCACGCTGACCCAACGGAAGTGAGTCAGGCTGGTACCACCATACCAGGCAGTAGTACTTTGTCAACCCCTCTAGACCTTTACAAAGAAAACTTTCAGCCAGTGGCCTGGCTACCGGGCTCTCCAGGTCAGTCTGTGTGATAACCCTGAAACCTAATGACACCCTCTAAGTGGCAACATCATTCACCATTTTTGGGGTCGGGAAGGAATTTTCCTCCAGGGTAGATTGGCAGAGACCCTGGAGGTTTTTCGCCTTTCTCTGTAGCATGGGGCACAGATCACAGCTGGAGGATTCTCTGCATCTTGGGGCCTTCAAAGTATTTGAAGGCTTCAATATCTGAGCTATAGGTGAGAGGATTATTCTAAGAGGGGTGGGTGAGATTCTGTGGCCTGCACTGTGCAGGGGGTCAGACTAGATAATGATCCCTTCTGACCTTAAAGTCTATGAGTCATTTCCCTGTAGAGAAAATTTCCAGCAGCTTGGGGATAGCGAATGGAGTTTTACATCCATCCCGCGGATTTCCCTCTGCACAAAAGGGACTGACAGCTAGACCCTGCCCAGCAAAGCTCTGGGTCTGTACTCCCCCTGGCTGGCAGGGTCCCCTCAAGGGCTTGTACCTGCTCCAGGCCACTGCAGCCCCCAACAGGAGGGCACCCTGCGTGCACCCGCTGCGCTCTGCAGCCTGCCGGGCACCCTCAGAAAAGGATCTGAAAACTTGCTGCCAGCTGGCTGCCAGGCACATGCCTCCCCCCTGCCTCCCTCGCTGCGCTCAGGCATGCAGCTTCCTGCCTCGGCCGCCCTCCTGGAGCTGCCCTGCCGGGGAGGGAGCTGCGGGCGCGCCCTGGCGCTGCAGGTAGGGGCGCGGGCTGCCCCTGCACCCCCTGGCGACCCCCGTCCCCCACGTCTGGTGCAGCCCCGGGCTGGGGAGCTGCGGTTTGCGCCGGAGCGGGGCGCCCAGGCGGGGAGGCGGCGGGTGGCTACTCACCCAGCCCCGCGCGTCCGGCCGGGCTCTGGGGTCCCTGCGCTCCTCCCCGCCCGCCGCTCCGGGCTCCCGGGCCCGCCTCTCCCGGCCGCTCTGCGCAAGCAGCGCGCTGGGGAAGTCTCCCCCCACGCGAGGAAACTCCACCCCCGCGGGCACCAGCGGGCGGGGCCCCGAGGCCGGGCCGCTCTGGGTCCCTGGGGCAGTACCAGCGGCCGGGCTCTCCCGACAGCCCCCAGCAAAGGCCAGAGCGGAGCCGGGCGAGCGCGGGTCTCCGCGACCCCAGCCGGGCTCTGGCCACAGCCCTGTGCCGGGAGGGTCCCCGCTCTGCGGGCCCGGCTCCGGAGCTGCGCCCCCACCAGCCAGCCTCTGCCCTGGGCGCGCTGGGGGAGGCGCGGGGGGATCCCCTGGGTGGAAGCCTTGCGAGGCCTCCGCCCCTTGACTGACAGCGGCGTGTTTTGTAAGCGGCTCCCACGCGGCAGGGAGCCCTGCAAGCCGCGTTACCTAAGCAGGCTCCGGGAGCCCGGGCTAGACCGCGCCCTGGCCGGCTGCGCAGGGAAACGAGCCGCCTGGTGCAGCTGGAAGGGTCGCGGCTGGGCGCGCGGCCCAGGTGAGAAGGAAGCGGAGATGGGCAGAGGGGTCGGGGTCTGCAAAGCGGCCAGGGCAGTGACTGGACAGGGAGGGCGGCGCTTTTCATAGCGAGGGCAATTGGTCACCGGTCCGGGGTAAAGCGTCCGGCGAAGGGTGGATTCTCCATCACTGCTGCAGCATTGGTGCAACACTGTGCCGCTTTTCCTGGAGAGGGCTGCTGCAGTGCAAACAGGAATTGAGTCAGGGGAGTCCTCTGGCCATAGACTAGGCAATGACAGTCCCTTGGACTCCGATTATGCCCATCTGTGTGGCGGGACTGAGCCCTGAGTCCAGATCCTCCAAGGTCTAACTCCCATTGAGTTCCTAGAGCCCCAGGTATGTAGGCACCTAACTCTGATCGGTTTGGGTGCTGTTTGGCTTCTGCGGGGAGGTGATCCCAAGGTGCTTAGTTTTATTTGTTTCCTTTTGCCCCCGAGACCTGACGCAGATGAACGAGGGAGCAGCACAGGCCGGCAGCATGAAGCACTGCTCAATCCACTGGTTCCGTAAGGGGCTTCGCCTTCATGACAACCCTGCCCTTCTGGCAGCAATGAGGGACAGCCGCCAGCTCTATCCCATCTTCATCCTCGACCCCTGGTTCCCAAAGAACATGCGGGTCAGCGTCAACCGCTGGAGGTTTCTGGTCGAGTCACTGAGAGATCTGGACGAAAGCCTCAAGAAACTGAACTCAAGGCAAGTCCTGTCCAGGCAGGTACTTGGCATGAGTGTAGAGAGGGCTAATACCGTACAAGGCATGGCCAGCCCAGAGCATTCTTACATTGCTGGAGTCATCTCTGGTGCCTGGAAAAAAGAACGGATTTGAGTCTGCTAGCCCGCACTATATGGGACCCACATTGCATTTGCTGGGAGCTGTGTACATAAGGAGCTGGCAATGTGGGCCCAGTCAATGCTAGAATTCTGCTTCCTTAAGTCCCTCTGGCCCCAGCTGTTTGGAGCTCCCTGTCCTTGAGAAAACCATGCCAGTGAGTTGTGGATTCACAGTGCATAGAGCTGGCAGCCTCTGTGCCTGGAGAACAGCATTCCTCAGTCAAACAAATGTATTTTCCCTCCTCCGCCGCAATGCTCCGGTCACACCTGTCACTTTAACAACCTGCCACGTTAATGAACTGCACCAGGGTAGCTGCTTCTCTGCCCCCAAACACATGGGGCCTGGTTCTCTGTCGCTCTGCATCTTGTGACACTGGTGCACAGTTACTAGTCTGACTTAGTTGTGTAGCACTTTATAGACGAACAGATTTGTTGGAACATAAGCTTTTGTGGGCAAAGACCCGCTTCTCATGCTCCAATAAATCTGTTAGTCTGTAAGGTGCCACAGGACTCCTCGTCACTTTTGCAGTTTCAGACTAACACGGCTACCTCTCTGATAGTTGACTTAGTCGTGTGCAGCATGCGCTTCACCCAGGTGTGCAATGGTGGTGCAGGGCAGTGCAGAAATGGGCTCCCAGTGCCGGGTCAGGAGCAGTCCCAAACGTCAGGAAGGCGCTTGATCTTAACTAACTGGGGATTTGAGTGGCAGCCCCTTCCAAAGGCACTTGGCTAGGAAAGCAAGCGCGGTGACGTAGGGCTGGAGTAGGCAGCAGCAGAAAGGCTGTTACTGAGGGGTCGATGAGGATGATTCTGTGTGTGTGTGTGGGGGGGGGGGGGTTCCTCACAATCCTTTGCATCTCCAGGTCCTAAGTGAAATGAGGCATGCAGCATACTTGAGAGGTCTCAGACCTGAGCCGCTTTGCCAAAGAGGAGGAAGCCAGGTGGCTAAATAGCCTCCCGGCCTGGGTCTCTCGCAGGGCAGGAGGGAGAATGTTGGTTCTGTCTTCCCCAGCTGCCTGGCCTGCATGTGGGCTGAGCAGCCTGACTGTAAGCAGCAATGTCCCAGCTGTGAGGGGGTAGGGTCTCCTTGCCCATCTCAGAGGCTGGAGCCCCAAGGGGAGGCTACCATGATCTGTCCTGCTGAGCTGTCAGACAGAAGCCAGAGTGGCACTGTAAGCCCCACCCATCCTCAGCCAGGAGCCGGAGGGGTCCACCTGACTGTCCATACAATTGAGCAGGATGTAGCTGCCCCAATTGTTGACATGGAGGTGCAGCCCTTGGAGACAAGTCCCAACATGCCCTGCTTGGAAGTGGCCTGACATGACCAAAGGGAGACTACGATTCCCACCATGCAGTGCTCTCTTGCCACGCCTGGGTTCCTGTGTCAGCCTCCTTACTTCACCTCCAGTGACTGGGTTTTGGTGGCATCTCCGCAGGCTGTTTGTGGTGCGTGGCCGCCCCATGGAGGTATTCCCAGGCCTCTTTAAAGAGTGGAAGGTGACGCGGCTGACATTCGAGATAGACACGGAGCCCTACTCCAGGCAGCGCGATGCCGAGGTGGTGAGGCTGGCGGCTGAACACGGCGTTGAGGTTATTCAGAAGGTGTCCAACACTCTCTATGACACTGACAGGTGAGTCCCAGGATGGGGGTGGGATCCCTCTGTGGCTTGCTCCTTGCTGTGCATTGAACATAAGAACAGCTGTACTGGGTCGGACCAAAAGTCCATCAAGCCAGTGCCAAGTGCCCCAGAGGGAATGAACAGGTAATCAACAAGTGATCCACCCGTCACCCATTCTCAGACCTGACAAACAGAGGCTAGGCTAGCTATTTGTCATGGTCATGAGGGATGGCCAGCAGCCTGGGGACTAAGGGGTTAACTGTACCTAACCAGGTAGCAGTCAGCCAATAGAAATGCAGATAGGGATTTCAAACTGAGAAAGGAATTTTGGGGTTTTCCTTCCTTTGTCTCTGGGCAGTTGACTCTCCAGAGACTGAGGGGGACAGACAACATGTCTCTCTCCAAGAAAAGACTCTTCACCATCTGTCAGTAGGGCAAAGTCTAGATAAATCCGTTAGGTTTTATTGTTTTATGGTTTGGGAATGGGAATCTGATGTCTGTGCATTTAGAAATGGGTTTTCCTTTCTCTTGCAACTCAGTTTTGTTCCCATGGGAAAATTCCCCATGAGTTTATTAATTGGTGGCTCTTGCCATCTAACCAATCCAGCTATGCATGTAACAGGAGTATTATTGTGATGGTAAAAGTTCTTTCTTTTTTATTAACTGGGTATTGGGTCAGTTCTGTGTCCTGGAAAATCTGTCTGTGGGATCTGCATGCCTCATACTAGGGGATAGCAGCCACAGACTGCCGTTTGTATTTTCTCTTTTCTTTTTCAAGCTCTTTGGGGAAAAGAGCTAGGGCTGCCCTGGGGTTGATTTCAAGAGTTCAGCTCCGTTTGTGGGTTCAAAAGCACTTGATAGTGGCAGCGGATTTTTATCCCCAAAATCTAGGCTTTTAGGATTTTGGGGGGGGAAGTTTTATACCAAAGCCTGGAAAGATAAGGTTTTGGGGTACTTTTGCGGGCCCCCACTTCTGCATTCATCATGCCAGAGTGGGGAATCAGCCTTGACACCATTAATATCTCCATTAATTTATCTGGCTTTTTTTTTTAATGTTGGTAAAGTCTTCACAACATCCTCAGGCCTGGAGTTCCACAGTTTGACTGTGTCTTGTGTAGAGAAATACTTCCTTTTTTTTTTTTTTTTTAAATCTGCTACCTACTAATCTCTTTAGGTAACTCCTAATTCTTGTGGTATGAGAAAGTGGAAATAACTTTCCGTATTTACTTTCTCCACACCAGTCATGATTCTATAGACCTGTATCGTGCCCTCCCCCTTAGTCCTCTCTTTTCCAAGTTGAAAGCTGTTCCATACCTCTCCTCATTTTTGTTGCTCTTTCCTGAACTTTTTCCAATGCTAACATGTCTTTTTAAAAATGAGGTGACCACATCTGCACGCTGTATTAAAGATGTGGCGTACCATGAATACCAGGAGGAAATAGGTTATTTTTATCTTATTCTATATCTCTTTCTTAATGATTCCTCTAGCTTTTTACTATCCACAGAATAATTGCTGAGAACAATGACAAGGTGCCTCTGACCTATGTGCGCCTGCAGACCCTGGTGGCAGAACTGGGACCCCCGAAGCGGCCTGTGCCAGCTCCCACTCTGGAAAACCTGAAGGGTGAGTAGAACCAAGGGCTTGCTAATAATGATTCATACACATGCCTGAGTTTCCTTCCATACAGGTGGGTGTCACCTCACCCTGTGGGTGGAACAAACGGGGTTGTTAAGGAACTGGTTGAAGCTGATTCAGATCGAAAGAGGGTCCCGAGTAATAACGGGATGTCCCATCAACGCTCAATAGGAGTATAGTAAGATGAGGGCCTGAAATATAAGCCCAGATATCACAGGCCTGGTGTGGGGCCTGAGGCCTAGACAGCAATGGTCAAGACTTTGCTAATATAAAGCAAAGTTAAGCTGTGAGCAAGAGGCAGGCCCTGCTCACAGAAGTTGGCAAGAACAGGGCTGATATTATAAAAACACTCCTACTTAACAGGTACTGAGCATAGGCCGGAAACACATTCCAGGGGGGTGGTAGCCGAACACCCTGTTAAGAAAATACAGGACTATGTAGCACTTTAAAGACTAACAAGATGGTTAGTCTTTAAAGTGCTACATAGTCTGGTGTAGCTGAAACAAAATACAGGACTAACACAGCTACATTTCTATCATTATTCTACCCTGTTAAGAAACACCTTGGTACCAACCTCCTCCCCACAAATAACAGACACTAACCTGACTGCATGAAACATAGAGATTGACTCCCCCCACCCCCCAGGTACATGGTAATGGGTGGATCTAGGTACGTCAGAAGGTGGCAGCCTGATACATCAAGGAGTGAAGTGTATCTTGTTTGTACCTGTGTATAAACGTGCACCCAAAGAGTTGTATTTGTCCCGCTGAGGGGGCAGAGTCTCATTCCTGGCACTGACTGGTCCTTTGCCTAGAGACATGTTTCTTCTGAAGAAATTGACTGCTTGTGCCAGGCTGGGGTTGGACAAGGGACAGAGGCTGGGAAAGAGATGGTGCCCAACCCAGCATAGCTGGTATTTACACCAATGTGGCCTATGTCTTAACTCCACCTCTCTGGGCCAACGTAAGGGCTTCCACATTTGGGAACCAGGTGACTCGTACATGGTTCCCTTGTTTGTGTCACGGCAAATGCCCATTGAGAACACTGCCCTGACGGGCCCATGCAGGCTTCCGTGGGAGTCTGGCTCAGCTAGATTCGCTGCAGGGAGCTGTAGTGGGAGGGTTGGTTGGTACCTGAAGGCCCAGTCTTGAGTCCTGGAGGGGCTGCCCCAGTGGAACTGTATGGCCCCTGGGGGCCTGGTGCACTAAGGGGGTGGGTTACAGATTGGCCATACCCTTTGGATACTGAGCATGGGATGAGCCTTTGGTAACGTGGTGGTTCTCTGCCATGGGACTGCAAGCTGCTGGGATTGGTATTCTAGGCTTCCCCTGCTATGTTCCCTAAAATCTCCCTATGATTTCCACAGGACAAGGGCTTCCTCTCTCTGTCTCCTAGGCTGTGTCTAGACTACATGGCTCCATCGATGGAGCCATGTAGATGAGTGTTGTAGGCAAAGGGAAATGAAGCGGCGATTATTTAAACCACCGCTTCATTTCCCTTTGCCTACAACACTCATCTACATGGCTCCATCGATGGAGCCATGTAGATGAGTGTTGTAGGCAAAGGGAAATGAAGCGGCGATTATTTAAACCACCGCTTCATTTCCCTTTGCCTACAACACTCATCTACATGGCTCCATCGATGGAGCCATGTAGATGAGTGTTGTAGGCAAAGGGAAATGAAGCGGCGATTATTTAAACCACCGCTTCATTTCCCTTTGCCTACAACACTCATCTACATGGCTCCATCGATGGAGCCATGTAGATGAGTGTTGTAGGCAAAGGGAAATGAAGCGGCGATTATTTAAACCACCGCTTCATTTCCCTTTGCCCAATAAACAAATCTACATGGCTCCGTCGACGGAGCCATGTAGTGTAGACGTACCCCTAGAGTCTGGCATAGTGGTGTTATGAGGCTGTCAACCGGTGGCCACGTTCCATTCCAGAGGTGGCTGCATTTCAGTGTTGGTCCTTGTGAGGGGGTCACTCACCACCATAGCGGGGGTCCGTCATCTGTCCCCGGAATCAGTCCATTCCGCCCGCACGGGCCTCCGCTCACGTGGGGTTCCCCCTCTGGAATCCTCCGGTCACGTCGTTCTCTTCGCCACACTGCCCTCCGGCAGTGCCCAAGTCACTCGCTCTGAGCCCCCCCTTCCGGGGGATTGGTGTCTCTCCGGCAGGCCTTACTTCAGGCCTAGCAGGCTGGCCGTTTGTCTGTCTGAGCGCCCCTGGCCCAGCCTTGACTCTCTAGCCCTGCCCTAGCTCCAGGGAGCGTCCTGCTCCCCCGGCAGCCAGGCTCACACCGCCTTCTCTGAAGCAGCCCTTCCCTTTTATGGCTCCCAGCTGGGCCTTAATTGGCCAACGCTGCCCAGCTGGGCTGAACTCCCCGGCCCTGCTCCAGGCTGGGGTTTGACTCTTAAAGGGCCAGTACAGGGCAGCTGCCCTGTTACAGTCCTGTTTAGCTCTACAAAGCCCTTTGAGATTCTTTGTATCTGAAGAGGTGAGAAAACATCCTGTGGGTCCTGGTGCAAGTTGGTACTGACTGTGCCGCTTTCCACAGATTGCCGTACTCCCTGCGGAGACAACCACGATGCAGAGTATGGGATCCCTACGCTGGAGGAGCTGGGTCAGGACCCCACGCAGGCAGGTCCTCACCTGTACCCAGGAGGAGAGTCTGAGGCACTTGGCAGGCTCGACTTGCATATGAACCGGACGGTATGGGAGTTGGTATTGATCCTCTCTCCCTCCGAGGCTTAGGGCAGTGAAGGGCGAACACTGAGCTCCTGCGCTTCCAAGCAGGCAGCGTAAGAGAAACACCTCGGACTGATTCCCAGCAATGGGCTGAGCCCACACGGGGAGCGTCTTGGAGATGCAGCACTGCCAGCCGCTCCATTACAGACCTCAGGCCTAATTCGTTCAGGTCTTGCGCTGGCGATCCCTGACCCCTGTGCTAAGTGACAGCAAAGCGGGCGGGCAATGATCATTGCAATGGCAGCAGCGCTGTGTGTTGCACTTCCTCTGACCTGTTGAGGAACAAATCTGGACAAAGGGTGGGCTGGAGCAGTATTGCTCTTGGGGTTGTTTATTGGCACAGATTCTTAAGAGTGAAGTGGTACTCACACACATACGCATCACACTCATGCTGGCCGTGTGGAGGCAGGCTGCAAGTGTGCTGTAGATCAGTTTTGATTTCGCTGGTGGTTGGAGTGCTGGCCAGGTGTCAGCTTCCCGGAGACTCGACCATGACGTTCCTTTGGGAGAGCCCTTCGGATCTGCAGGAGGCTTTACTGTCTCTGGGCCGGTCTCAGGTTTCCGCTGTGATGTCACATTTTGTCCAGGAGAGAGAGAGAGAGATTTTCTGGCCACCTCTCAGTTTATCTGCTGGCAGCATCTTTGTCTGCCTTAAAAAGTCACAGATCCTAAACTGCCGTTTTGGTTGGGTATTTCTCATTCATACCTCACACACATTCCACAGGTTCCATACATATTCATAAGCAATGTGGTTTCAAAGCAGAGTGGGGCCTCATGGCCTTGAGTACAAGAAATTGCATTGTACTAAAAATAACACAGCAAAGGCATGATGAAAAGCTTCACAAAGTAGAACTAAGAAAGCCAAGGTCAGGGAAGAAAGGAAAAGCAGAGGAGCATGTCAGGACAGCTAGACACCAGTGGAAAAGAGGGGGGATGTCGTGTCTGACTGGTTACACTGTACATTCCCCCCCCCCCCTTGTTATATTATTGTCCCAGGAGGGTAGGTGCTGGACTAGGCATGCTGGGGGTGCTGCCGCTCCTGGCTTGAAGTGGTTCCTAAGACATACAGCAAGGCCATCCCCATCCCTTGGGAGGGAGCCCGAGCTCTGCCCTCTCATCTGCTTCTCTTGTCCTTTTGCAGGCCTGGGTGTGTAACTTCCAGAAGCCCCAGACTGAACCCAACTCCCTGAGCCCCAGCACCACCGTGCTGAGTCCTCACCTCAAGTTTGGATGCTTGTCGGTGCGAACCTTCTGGTGGCGGCTGGCTGACGTCTACCAGGGGGTAAGGAGGCAGCGGCTTTCCCGTGCTCGGGTTCAGCCTAACGGTACCGTGCGGGGGCTCATAGCGTTCTGCCCTGCCAGGGCTGCTGGAGCCTGTGGCCGTGGGGCATTTGGAGTAAGAGCTGTTGCTCTGTGTGGGCAGACAGCCCTCCTGGCATGGTCAGTCAAGATGCTGCCTCAGTCCATGGCAGCAGAACCTCTTTGCGGGAGGACGGTGGGTGAACTGGATAATGCGGCGGGTTAGACCTACACCCGAATCTCAGGTTTAAACCCTAGAATCCCAAAGGGAAATCTGTCTTGTGACTTGTCACAGCCTTTGTTTGTCAGTAAGACCAGGGCACTTCACAATTTGGCTCCATCGAGGCCTTGGGACAAGAAAGCCGAGGCCTGGAAGAGCAGAGGCTGCTGTGGGCCAGGGAGATACCTTGGCAGAGCTGGGTGCATCCTGGGAGCTTTTCCAGCACTTCCACAGATTGTGCTCCACTCTACCCTGTCCTGTTAATCTCTCACTTTGATTCCTTACACTCCACTCGGTATTTGGGAGAAGCAAGTGCAGTAACCCCAGCAAGGGGACCAGCACTGGATCCCTTCTGCGGGACTCTACTTCCTCGTGGGCCAGAGACGAGCATGACGCCTGCCCTCTTTTAACAGAGGAAACACTCCAGTCCACAGATTGTGCTCCACTCTACCCTGTCCTGTTAATCTCTCACTTTGATTCCTTACACTCCACTCGGTATTTGGGAGAAGCAAGTGCAGTAACCCCAGCAAGGGGACCAGCACTGGATCCCTTCTGCGGGACTCTACTTCCTCGTGGGCCAGAGACGAGCATGACGCCTGCCCTCTTTTAACAGAGGAAACACTCCAGTCCGCCTGTCTCTTTGCACGGGCAGCTCCTGTGGAGCGAACTCCAGCAGGATGGAAGGCACCCCCGTCTGTCTGCAGGTGGACTGGGATGACAATCCGGAGCACCTCAGAGCCTGGCGCGAGGTACCCGCTTTTGGCAGCGCAGATCACTGACTGTTTTGTCCCGGGGACAGGAGCCTTGTAGCAAAGTCATCTGCCAGGGCTAGGGGACCTGGGGCTGGCCAGCCCCTTTGATGTTAGACCCAGCGAGGAAGGGGTCAGGTGATCCTTGCAAAGGGCTGAGAGAGGCCAGCGGGAGGGAGGGTTGGGAGACAGGCTGTGGAGCGGAGAGAAGGCCTGTGCTGGTCCAGCTTGGGAGAACTCGCCGTGTTACTTGGTCAGTTTGTTCTCTGAATTAGGTCAGGACATGGCCTGTGGGAACCAGGCCGGCTGACATGCGCTCTGGGCCTTCCCATGCCTCCCAGCCATGGTGGGGCCGTACCCAGTGCTGGAGAACCCGAGTGCTGACACTCAGCAGTTGTGCTGACTAGAGGGAACACACCTAGCGCGTGGCCTGGCTAGCAGGTCACACCCTCCGGCACCACTGCTGTGGGAGAACTACAGCAGCGCTTCCTCCGTTACGTTTGCTGGCAGTTGCAGCTGCATAGCGGGCTAGGACGGTGACATGCCCAGGGCCCAAGTACATCCCAGTGTAACGCTACATGGAGTTCCACCAGGGACCAGTCTGACCCACACTCTCATGCTTGTCTCAAAGGGGAGCCACTCAATGCAGGGCCAGGGTAGAGATGGTAGGAGGAGCAGACGCTCGGCAGAGAGTAGACGGGGTCATTCGATACGTCAGACAGGCATGGGCCGCCAGGGCTAGAACCTTGGTCCTTCGGCGTCACAATACAGCCGCCGCATCTTGAGCTACCACAGATCTCCCTTGGCTGGTGGGAGTAACTGGGCCTGTTGCTCTGCGGGTCCTGCCCCTTGTGGCCAGACAGGTGACGTTGGGCGTCAACCCGGCGTAAAGTTCCCTATGTTAGCTTGCTGGAGATGAAGCTTAAGCCCTGTTTGCCTTCCCCATGGCAGGGGCGGACGGGCTACCCCTTCATAGATGCCATCATGACTCAGCTGCGCACTGAAGGCTGGATCCATCACCTGGCCCGGCACGCTGTGGCCTGTTTCCTGACGCGAGGGGACCTGTGGATCTCCTGGGAGGAAGGGCAAAAGGTCAGGCATGTCACAAGCGGCGCTGCTGAAATGCTGGGGCCCTTGAGAGCCTGCCTAAGTGAGATGAGGCTTGTAGCATTCTTGAGAGGTCTCAGACCTGAGCTGCTTTGCCAAAGGGGAGGAAGCCAGGGGGTCTCACACAGGGCAGGAGGGAGAATGTTGGTTCTGTCTTCCCCAGCTGCCTGGCCTGCATGTGGGCTGAGCAGCCTGACTGTAAGCAGCAATGTCCCAGCTGTGGGGGGTAGGGTCTCCTTGCCCGTCTCAGAGGCTGGAGCCCCAAGGAGAGGCAACCCAGGCCTGCAGAGGTCTCACGCTCCCTGTTGTTTCTGCGGAGCACTGAGATAGAAGCCCTGGGGAGTTTCCCTGCCACAGCTGGGAAGCAGGTGGATGGAGTGCTAATAGCAGGAGCAATGGGGTGACTCCTCAGAGACCAGCTGCTGAATGATGAGCCTCCACCCCTGCACTGTGCCACGGAGCCTGAGCCCTCTGAGGTCAGGCTAAAGGGCAGCAGCAGTGTTGGAAGTGGGGGCGGGTTAGGCGTGATCTCCTAAAGCATTCACCCCTGCTCCCCCCCAGGTCTTTGAGGAGTTGTTACTAGATGCCGACTGGTCCCTGAACGCCGGCAACTGGCAGTGGCTGTCAGCAAGCGCCTTCTTCCACCAGTTCTTCCGCGTCTATTCGCCTGTCGCCTTCGGCAAGAAGACAGACAAAGATGGAGAATATATCAAGTAAGTGCAGGACAAAGTCCAGCAGAGCCCAGCCTCTTCCTGGATCATGCAGGCTCCTGACAGCCCTGCGCATGCTGCCGTTAGTGTGTGGCTCCAGCCTGGTATTGCAGAGGAAGCAGTGGGTGAGGGGGATCGGGATTTTTTCTCTCTCTCTCCACCCAGGCGACGGGTGGTGGCCGTGACTCCTCCTAGCTCCAGACTCCTCAGCTGTAGAGCCCTGTGCAGACACAAAACTTGTATCTACTTCCACAAAAACAAGCTGCGCATATCCACACTGATATCTGTGGAGGCAGATGCCCATGGCTAGAGTAGGCTTGCAAGGTGATTTCACCAAAAATCCCAAACATGGCAAAAAAACAAAACCCCTGGGAGACCAAACTTGTTGGCTGTGGATATGGAGGTGGTTATCCACCTCCATATCAAAAGCGACTACTTTTGCGGAAAAACTTGCCAGCTGTCTACACTGGCTGGTTGATTTTTGGGAAGAACACTCACTTTGTAATGTACAAA